CTATTAGCAGAAATCAACACCCTACTGTGGCAAACTACAAACGTCAGAATAGAAGTCTAAGCATACAGGTAGATTGCAAGGAGCTCAGAAGAAGCTTGCGGTTCATTTCTGATCACCATGGTCTCCAAATACATAGATGCACCATACATATATGCAGTGATATATATTTTTCTCTCTCCAATAGCCACCCACATGACTGCTTCCAGAAAACATCTTTTTCTCATGATTGGGTCGCATAATACATGTCAGCACAACACAGGGCTCAGTCCTGAGTAATTCTGTGGTGCTTTATAGAGGAATTTAATCACACCTTGTTCAGATATAGAGGGGGTTAGGAGGAAGATGGGATTAGTCTTTAGTTTACATTTCCAGACAAAAAATGTAAAAAAATTAAAACACAACTTTCCTGGAGCTCTTATTTAAAGCTCCAACTTTCTATATCCTATCCTTCTGGCTCTTTCCCTCTTTCGCTCACTGCTGCTGGCCACTTTCCTCTCCGTGCACTCACTGCTGACCTGAAGGGTTTTAAAATAGTCTGGTACTAGTGCACTTTCACTAGACTAGTACAGAAGCACTTCTGTCATGATACTATTCGGAATGCTGCTATATCAGCCCCAAGGGAATAGATGCAGCCATTTTAATATTTTAACTCTCTCACAAAGGTATTGTCACATCCAGTATTTGTAAATGAACTCAGATCTTTGGATAAAGGTGATACAGACGTGCAACTCATTACAGGTTTAATGAAGGACACATTAAACAGTTTGTGACTCTTACTAGCAGTGCCCTCTTACTCGCACAAGGAAAAGGAACTAGAAGTCTGATTTATGGACCCACACACCTTAGCCTTGTACTAGATGCTTCACTTTGAAGGATTCTGATTTTTTTAATCTTTGCTAGTCAGCTCAGTCCCATGTCTGAAGCTTGTAAATGGAAAACCAGGATCTGTAGCAGTTACTTTTGCAGTCTAATTATTTACTGTAATGACATGCAATGCAGACTTTAAAATATTTAGATCATAAGCTGTTTTCTATTACAGTAAATCTCAAACACCAACGTTCAAAGGGACATTGAGCCTGACAGAGCAGAAAAAACGTCATCATGATATACTTGCTGTAAAACAGCTAAAAATTAAGTGAAGACTATGAAATCATATTTGGCAAAAATTGTTTTAAAATTTGGGAAGATTAAATAAACCATTGGTTTTAAATCCTGTTTTTAATACACACTGTTTCTATTAAAGAAAATATCAGACCTGTTTTGTTATATTGCCATGGAGAAGAGCCTCGATGTGTAACCGTGACAACAGTTGAGATATAAAGGCCTTGAGGCGGAGAAGAGTGACATCTAGAATAGATAAACAGATAGTTAAATCAATCACATGATTTTTTTACATTAGAGGGAATTGACCTCATCATCAGCAGATAGGATGCGTTTCTTGGAGAAAAGGGAAAATCACAATCATCAAAAGCTTTGGATTTTCCCTTAAAAATTCATTGTTGGAAAATTTCCAGGTTTAAATATCAGCACTCATTGCATAGTTTGCTTTGCTTAGAATTCACATAGCATCTGACCCACATTCCACTAAGAAAAACAACATCCCTGCTCTCCAATCATGCTGAACACACATTCACTCTCCAGAGAAAACAGTTACCATCATTTAGGTCGGGCTGAGAGATAAAGCTGTAGCTATTAACTACATAAAGAACATGTGGCTTATCCTTCTGGAAGTTACAGTACATTACTATCTAGACTAAATAATTTCTGAACTCAAATTTCATCGTTTGATGGTAATTAGCAATAAATCATACACAAAAAAATATTAATTTACAATATATATACCTGTACTTACGTGTACACACACACACACACACCTGATTTTCATATTTTAAACACTTTTACAATCAGTATTACTCTTGTCCATAAAGCAAAATACAATTTACATATTAGAATCAATAGGCAGAATCAGCAGACTAAGACAGTCCCTTGGTAACGGCACAGACTTTGGAGCCAGGAGACCTGGGGTCCAATCACTGGCTCTGCCATAGCCTCCCTGTGTGACCTAGGAAAAGTCCCTTATTCTCTCTGTGCCTCATTTTCTTATCTGTAAAATGGGGATAATCACACTTCCCTATCTCAAAGGAGTGTTCTGAGGATAAATACATTAAAGACTGTGAGGCTCTGAGTTACTATTGTAATGGAGGGTATACAAGTAGCTAAGATAGGTAGATATTTTTATCCTAAAAATATCAATACTTTTTCCAATAATTTTTCCTCTTACTTCAACCCCGACGAACGCCCTCCCAAAAACACACACCATTTCCACTTTTCCTCACCCCACATCAATTATTAGTTGCTCTCACTTCTTTAGTCATAGCTTATATTTAAACTGTCTCCTGGAAAAGGCCAGGGGTCTCTTATTGTTTGTGTAATTAGTCTCTTAATTCTGACTTAAGAAACATTTGTCAGCAGTACATAGGGCTGGGGTCATCTGGTAGTGGTGGTGAGGATGATGGTAGTTAAAAAAATCAAACCAAAAAATCATTGTCCCTCAAGCAGAACTTTAATGTTGCAAGACAATTAGACTTTAACCTCTTTGAATAGCAATTCAGTGTTAAATTGCCATGTTAAATACACTCAGTATTAAACTTTAAATAGATTACATTAAGGGACAGAAGTCAGTAAATAAAAAAGGATCTGCAATTCCTAGGAAGAGGAAGGGAGTACCCTTTATCGGGCTGACCCTGCTCTCACTGAAATTAATGCTAGTTTTGCCACTGACTTCGGTAGGGCCCATTGATAGTCACCTTACTTAACACTGTACAGACAACAGAACAAAACATTTAGGACCCAGACCCAAAGCTACTCTGTACAGTCGGCCCATGCACTAGTATAAAGTCTAGGGTTGCCAACCTCCAAGATTGGCCTGGAGTCTCCAGGAATTAAAGATTAATCTTACATTAAAGATTATGTCATGTGGTGAAACCTCCAGGAATAAATCCAACCAAAATCGGCAACCCTAAAGCCCCCTATAGCGTGTACAGAGGACTGCTTGCATGGAGCAGCTTCAGGATCAGAGCCTTAATAGTGGAATGCAACAATATACAGTATAGTCAGTTTCTGACCATACTGGATTTTTTCTTTCCCTCTAAAAACATTATTTTTCATTGGCATCTTTTAGAGTTCAATACATCAACCAAGAATGATGAAATAACTATCCTGCAGCACTATGCAGAAGCCAATCAGAATCAGGGCCTCACTGTGCACTGTACAAATACAGAGGTATTCCCAAGAGTTCCTGTTGGAAAAGATTTATACATTTTTAAAAAAAATTTTGTTGCTGATATTTTTCTGGTAAAAGCTTTTTCTTGCAATAATTAAAAGGTATACAGTGCCCAATATATTTTAAGCCTGCCTCAGTAGCAAGTGTACAATACATGCACACTCACCTCTATAAATATCTCACTGAGGGAAACATGGTGAGGGAAGGGTAAATTCACATCTTTGCTCATGATGGCATTCAGCTGAAAGCAGTATTTGGTAGGGCTGGTTTAATAGGGTGGTAAGATGTCTGAAAATTAGAAGATGGGAAGCAGCTACAAAAAGATAAAAATAGAGGAGCAAATCCAGCCCACTTCACTAATATGAGCCATCCCACAAAAGTCAAAAGTTGCATGAGAAAGGCAAGCTAGATTTGGCCCTAATTTACATCTTCTGGAAGATTTGCTAGGGGTGGTCTAAGGAGATATTCACCATCTTCTTTCTGCAGATTGCTCCAACAGCAGCCCATTCTCATGTCAGGCTAGAGTGGGGTACTACATGTAAAGTTCACTAGCCTCTGCTAAAATTATAGATACATCCTCAGATTATTTTGAAGTTGTTGGTAACTTTTATATTTTAAATTACGCTCCCCAGTGAATATAGCAAGGGATCTGTTCTTCATTAAGGACTGTTTGCATGAAAAGTTTGTAGGCTTTTTTCCAAATATTTTTGAGACAGTGGTCATCAAAAAGTAAATACATAATTTAAAAAAAAAATCTTAATTCCCAAACTGGGTTTTCCTTACATTAACTAATAACTAAAAAAATTAAAGTTTCTCAAACTTTAAAAACACTATGAAGCAACTGCTGTACAAACATTGCAAAATATGGTTCAGAGTTCAAAATATGTAGCTCCATTAATGTTGATTAAGTAATTACTTGTGAGGACAACAGACTATGTTCCCATTCAAAAACGGAAACTCCTAACTTTACTGAAACAATACAAAGCTCAGGATTCTGAACATGATCAAAGTCAAAATAGGCTAAAATAGTGAATACGGTAAAAGAAACAAAGTTACAAATTAGGGGGAACTCACCATCTAGAGCTTCTTTTAATTCATCTTTGGTCCAAGCAACTTCTGTCATCAACAGTCGGAGGTAATACATAGCATGCTGGTGAGGCTGTTCAGCTCGAAAGTTGTTAAGTGATCGCATGTACTAACAAGGTTGAAATAGAACATTCAATAATTACAAAACTCAGCTTCTGAATATAACAGCAACATCACCCCTGAGCTACTTGGCTTTGTAAACAACCCAATACCCCACATTCCAGATGCCAGCAACATTCTTACTATTCTACACTTGTGCTTTCTTGAGTAGCGTAATAATTGGATTGAACTATGCTCATGATGATGTAGCTTTGCTTACATGATGAAGAAGCTAGGAACTAAGCTAGTTTCAATTTTGACAAAAAACATTTATTCTCAGAGTGCAATTTTCCATTAATTCATTATGACAGATAACTCCAAACCAATATTTTCAATCATTCTAGTCAAGGCCTATATATTCTGTGGCAACTATTACCAAATTCATTGCTAGCTGCAAACTATAACTAATTGTCCAGTGCCCTAGTCTCACACTGTCAGACAGAGGCAGGGACAGCTACATACAAAAGAAACAAGAAAAGAATCTATTTTTGTGAGCAAGGAGCAGGGCTGTGACAACTGTTATTTTGCTCAGTTTGCATCCAGGCAAAACAAACACAGCCATCTCCTCGAACAGAAAGAATGGAAAGAACAAGCTAACAGTCTTGGCAACGTGGGATCTACTGGGTCCATACAGCCACAGGTAAGCATATCCTCCATTTCACAAGAGAAAGTCAGCTGTTTTTCAGAGGCCAGTGGGTAGGTGGGAAATGCAACCCCTATGACCATAAGGTGAGAGGGCTTTGTCTGGACTGACAGGAAAAAAGGGGAAGTGTCTCCTTTAAGAGTCCCTCCCTTGGGAATTGGGAAGGGGTGGCAGGCATCACCTAAGCCTGCAGGCAGGTGAGTAGGATTTAGGTAACCCACTGTCCCCCTGCACATCTGGAGAGATTATATAAATCCTACTCCCTCCAGCCTGAGCCCCCTCCTAACCCAGGATTAGTTTAGGACTGGATTTTTCGCTCAGTTATGGGCATTGTATAAATTGCCTCATTTATAATTAGGAATGACTTACACCCCACCATGGCTAATCTGGCAGTAAGGGGGAGTGTGCATGTGTGTGTGTGATTTTTTTTCCCTTCCCCATAGCAGCTCAGGGACCTGATAGGGTAGATCAGGAGGTAAGGTTCAAGATGTCACAATTTAGCAAGTGCCAACAAGTGTATGCTGCTACTCATTCCATAGGGGTCCAGTTCTGTGTAAAACTGGAAGTGGATTTAGGGGAAGGCATCCCCTAAAGAAAAGGGGGAATAAGCTTAGGGCTCCAAGTGTCTGCTGCAGCAAAGAGACAACCCTCTTTCCCCAGCCCCTTAACCTTCATATAAGGGAAGGGTGGGGGTTCCCAGCAGTAGACTGGAATCAGCTTTGGAGGGCTGATGGCACCACATCCCTTGCATTTTGTCTTTCTTTCTGTGTTTCTGAGACAAAGAGGAAAAAGCTGGTGAAGAATGCATTCCCACTTTCACCTACTTTATAAGAAAAAAGGAGCTGACCCTTTCTTAACATGGATGAGCTTGTGGGAAAAGAAAATGCAACTTTTCCTCTTTAGATTTTGATATTTTTTGGTTTTTCCTTTATGTTGTTACACACATGGATATAAAGACAATAAAAATTGTACATACTCACAAAATATGCAAAATAATGAAAAGCAAATTCTGAGATAAAACTCCCCTGAGTTCTAGAGACATAAATGAGAAAATATCTCATAATACATAAAGGAAAATCCCCAAGAAGTATGCATTATAGATAATGTATACATAGAAATATTTAGAAATTTCTTTGGGGTTTTCCTTAGTTTTAAACTTAATTTTTATCTGTTTTATGCTGCCATGTGTGTCAGTTTACCACAGTAATGAGATTCAACGTGCCACAGATATATAGACCCTGATACTGGACTAAATCTTCCTTATATTTGATATTCACCTATTTGAATATTAAAATTAAAAGTTTCCTGTTACATGATATAATGCTTTCTTCTCATGTATGCAACTCCAATGTAAATAATTACATTTCTAGATTGGACTAACAGAAGTAACAGAAGTTGTAACCTATTTCAAAAGTTTAAAAAAAAATTTGTAAAATGCAGTATATAAATATGGATCACTGAATTTTGTGCCAGTTTTCACTTCTGGAATTCTGCATATCCATGTACTGCATACCCTATACCATGAAATGGGTTATGATCCCCTGGGTCCAGAGGGGTCACAACCATCCCTCCTATCTATCCTGTTTCTTTATGGCTAGATCAGATTGAAATCCTAAATCTTTTTCTTGTTGTAAATGGGATCGGAATATGGAAAAGTTTGAGAGGCACTGTTCTACTCCTTTTATAAATGAAAGGCATAATCCAACAGTTAGAAAAAGTTTACCACACATTTTGCCTGAATAAAGACTGTACGGCCAATACTTTTGAAGATGTACAACTGTCATTTAAATACTGTGGGTGAACTTCTGACCAAACTGAAGCCAACAGCAAAACTCCCATCAACTTCAGTGGGCTAGGATTTCACCCTATACTTTTGGGCAGATTTAGCTCTCAACTGTCATTAAAGTGTTCACATTTCACTCATAGTCAATGTATTCTGTTTTAAATTATCCCAATCACATTATATTTCCATAGAGCTTACCGCTTCCTTGATAATTTCAAATCTTTTCTCATCAATCTCAAAGGTGGTCATTTTTTCAATGATCTTCTTTAACAAGATATGCTGCTTGTCATTATAACCTTTTACAGAAAGCTATGGAAAGAGTGCATAAGTTCCTTTAAACTTGAAAAGTCAAAGAGCAATTTCTAAAAAAAAAAAAAATTGTACATGTTTATAATGGCCTAAAACTCAGACATCACAATTAGAAAGAAAAAACAAAAAAAAAAACCAAAAAAAAACCCCACAGATATTTGATTAATTTTAATTTAAAATCAATTTTTCTCACAAGCTGGTGTAATATTGAAGACGACAATACTGTATGTCTTGGTGGTTTTACATGCAAAGGACAAATATAAATTCACTGTAGCTTAATAAAGCAGCAATGTGTAGGAGTATAGACTAACTGTTTATTAGTACGGGCTCCAGTCAGTAAAGTGTGTTTGAAGTACTCAAAAATGTTTTTCCACTATGGACTTCTCATTATAGTAATAAAAACTAGCTTCCTACTCTCCTCAAATGTTAGCCCAGAAACCTATTTTCAACTCTATATTTAAATTTCCCTCATGACCCATAAATATATTTTACTGGGATGGTAGTAAATAATATCAGGAGACATGGGTCAGTGTGGACACCTGCAGTCATAAAATTCAGTATGATGCTAGCTTACAAAACCCAGGGTGTTAGTCTCAAATGTTATGAGATATGGGTACCTCTACACAAAGTCTTGATAAGGCTGCATATGGGGTAATATGCACATGGTATTAATCACCTAAATTACAAAATGAATATCTATAAAATACAAAGAAAGGCTACATAATTATTTCATGCTATGAAGAATCTGATGAGAAAAGGTTCCAAACCTTTCCAAGAAAAATACAAGATCTAAGTCCTGTTTGCAGGAACCAAAGTGGGGGACACACATTATGATCACAGAATCATAGAAATATACAACTGGAAGGGACCTTGATGGGTCATCTAGTCTAGTCCCCTGAACTGAGGCAGAACTAAGTATTTTCTAGACCATCCCTGACTGGTGTTTGTCTAACCCATTCTTAAATATCTCCAAGGATAAAGATTCCACAAACTCCCTAGGTCAGTGGTTTTCAAACTTTTTTTTCTGGGAACCCAGTTGAAGAAAATTGTTGATACCCATGACCCAATGGAGCTCGGGATGAGGGACTCAGGGTGTGGGAGGGGCTCAGGGCTGGAGCAGAGGGTTGGGATACAGGGGTGAGGGCTGTGGGGTGGGGATGGGGGTGAGGGTTCGGGGAGTGGGCTCTGGGCTGGGGCTCCACGCTGCTCTCACCCGCAGGCACCCCCTACCCTCCCCAGCAGAGTGCAGAGCTAATGCTCGGGGCAGGGGCAGCGCATGGAGCCCTGTGGCCCCCCTGCCTAGAAGCGGGACCCACTGCTGGCTGCATCCAGGGTGCAGTGCAGTGTCTGAACAGGTAGGCACTAGCCTGCCTTAGCTGGGCAGCACCGCCGACGGGACTTTTAACGTCCAGGTCGGCGGTGCTGACCAGAGCGACAAGGGTCCCTGGGTGCTAAGCTCGGCGACCCAGTGCCTTACATGCCGTGACCCAGTACCTGAACTTTGAAAAACACTGCCCTAGGTAATTTGTTCCAGTCCTTAACCACCTTATGGTGAAACAGTTTTTCCAAATGTCTAACCTAAATCTCTCTTGCTGCAAGGTCATGGGAGACAGTATCAAAAGTCTTACTAAAGACAAGATATATCACATCTCCTGCTTCCCCCCCCCCCCCCCATCCACAAGGCTTGTTACCCTGTCAAAGAAGGATATTATGTTGGTTTAACATGATTTGCTGAGAAATCCACATTGACTATTACTGATCACTTTATTATTTTCTAGGTGCTTACAAACTGATTGTTTATTTGCCCCATTATGCGTCTGGGTACTGAAGTTAAGCTGACTGGTCTATAATTCCCTGGGTTATCCGTATTCCCCTTTTTATAGATAAGTACTATATTTGCCGTTTTCCAGTCCTCTGAATCTCTCCCATCTGCCACAAATTCTGAAAGATAATCACTAATGGCTCAGAGATCTTTGGTCATTTCCTTACGTGTTCTAGGATGTATTTAGCCAGATCCTGCCAACTTAAAGACATCTAAATTGTCTAAATGATTCTTAATATTTTTTTCCTTTCCTATTTTAGACTCAGAGCCTACTGTGATGTTATTCATCCAATCACTGCTAACCTTTTTTGTGAAAATTGGAAAAAAAAAAAAGGCATTTAACACTTCAGCCTTCACTGTGTTTTCTCTTATTGCCTTTCCACCTTCATTAAGTAAGGGGACAACCCTGTCCTTGGTCTTCGTCTTGCTTCTAATGTATTTGTAAAATGCTTTTTGTTACCCTTTATGTCGAATAGCTAGTTAAATCCTGTTTTGTTTCTAATTTTGTCCCTACAAGCTTCTGATGGGTTTTTATATATATATTTTTTAATATTCATCTTTCATAATTTGACTTATTTTCCACTTTTGGTATGACTCTTTTGAGTTTCAGGTCATTGAAGATCTTCTGGTTACGCCAGGTTGCTCTCTTATCATACTTCCTATCTTTCCTAGTCATTGGAATAATTTGCTCTTGTGCCCTTAACAGTGTCTCTTTAAAAAATGCCAACTCTCCTTAACTCTTTTTGCCCCTTAGATTTGCTTCCCATGGGATCTTACCTACCAAGTCTCTGGGTTGCAAAAGTCTGCCTTCTTGAAGTCCATCGTCTGTATTGCGCTTTCTTCTTTCCTACCATGAACTCCATCATTTCATGATCACTTTCACTCAACTGCCTTTCACCTTCAAATTCTCAACCAGTTCCTCCCTATCAAAATCAAATCTAAAATAGCCTCTCCCTTAGTTGCTTTCTCTAACTTCTGTAATAAAAAAGTTTAAAAAAAATTCATCTACCTCTTTTTCCTGGTTAAGTGGTCAATTGTAGGCCCCTACTATGACATCACTCTTGTTTTTTACCCCTTTTATCT